TCCCAGGAGAACCCTGCTGGGATGATCAGTGAAAGCCAAGCACGGCTCTGATGTGTCAGTGCTGCTGCACAGCCCTCTTGTGAAGCCTGTCCTGCCCTGTCCCAGCGGTGGCACAGCTGTTTAAGGCACATTGACAAGGCAAACGTGGTAAATTGCATACAATCAGAATTAATTAACTTTGTTTTTATCTCGTCCCTTTCCTGAGCGAGTCAGTGCCATGTGCAGCAGACCTTTCACAACATCCTGCATTGCTTTTGTGTTTTTAAACAGTGCATTGGCTCATGTATCCTGAGACAGAGCTATTTTTCTAGTCTGAATAGTTCAGAAGTGAGTACCAAGCCTGTGCAGAGCACCTGACAACAGTATCCTATTTCAGCCTTAGAAAGAGTACAGAGAGAAAAGACAAGAGAACTAGAAAAAGACTTTGTGTCTAGCTCTGTGCGGAAGAGATAAAGAGTCCATTGGTTGGACTCAATGATCTTAGAGGTCTTTTCCAACCTCAACAGTTGTATGATTCTATAGTGTAAGAGAAAGCATCTTTGGAGAACTATTTGCCATGAGTAACAAATATATTTACTATATTTTGCAGAAAAGGTATTCTAGACAGCTACTCCTTAAACAGACCTGTGATAAATTTGGAAATAATTCAATACAATGGATAGGCCTTTGCTGACTGTTTATGACAAGCAGGATAAAAATACTTTGTGCACAACATACCACTGATGTTATGGGAGTTTTTCAGAATCTGCTTCATCCAGCCATACAGAGCTCTCTGAGTATTTGCTGAGGTTTTGTCGTAGAGGTCCTTGAACACTGCTGATCTAAGTGATACAAGAGCATGTTAGTTCACTAATGGGTTAACTATTTTCTTTCCTAATGACACACATGGACAAATGATTTTAGAAACAGAAAGACATAAGCAGAAAGCTGTATCTGGAAAATAGACTCAGAACCTATAACAAACTCTTTTTAAAGAGTCAGCAAATATGACATAGTATTAATTGTGCCTGGAAAATAGATGACTTACAAGTTTCTGAAAGCATCCTCCAGCAGAATGTTTGGGAGACTCCCAACAACATCAGGTTGGAGATAGTTCACTGCTGACACATGCAAAACCTGGCTTAGGATATCCACACAGTCCAAAGCATTCAGAACCAGAAAGCATTTATCCAGTGTTATAAGGAACAAGGTCCTGTTTACTCCTGGGCTTTGAAAAATCCTCTCTCTGGTGTTGTCCCAATCAAGAAAAATGTTTCCCATTTCCTGCAAGCAACAAAGTGTTTAAATAACATCTCTTTGCTTAATTCAATATATTGTTCATTGTGAGGACTGACAAGAGAGCAATCTACAAAGAATATAGTTCTATTCTCATGAAAAATAGCTGCAAAATACTATCTGGTTGCATTACTTCCTTTCTGGCATTGGGCAGAGACCAGCTTGAATTTTTTTTACAAAATCAAAACGAAAACCAGAAAAATAATCCAAATGGCTGAAGTTATATCCCATGAAAGACTGAGTTATTTGAAAAATTAAGGGACATTGGAATTGAATAGCTATTATTTAATACATGATTTAATGTGCAGACATCTCTAGAATAGATCTTTTCCATGCACTATTTCTTGCAGCTGTTGCTACAAACATCCCTTCCAGAAGATGGGGCAATGTCAGAGAACAGGGATTATTCTGGGGATTCCCCATCTCATAAACTGAGGTGTCTGAGACAGCCTGCTCAGAGCTGACAGTCCCAGGCCTGGGGATTTACACTTTACTGACATGGCTCATGCTCTACTGCTCTGGTTCCCAGTGCATGCTGCACACCTGTCCTGTGTGCTTTGGCAGCAGGAGCTGCACCACCACTGTTTGAACAGTGGATTACAGTGTTTGTTCTGGGCAGTGACCTCCTGTGTCTCAGATCATGCTTTCCCTTTCTCCCAGATCCTTCTCCCCTGCCCACACTGGAGGCCCTTCTTGCCAGCAGGGAAGATGCCGAGTGTTCTCATAGCTCAGGTGATGATCCCACCTGCCAGGACAATCCTCCCTGGGTGTCACTCATGGGCTCTGAGTGAGACTTTTAGATGAGTCACACAAGGAACACATCACAAAGAAAAGCAAATGATGTGGTGCTGTCTCCCCTCCAAACTGTCTATGGGAGGTATGCTCACATGCTCCCATGACTAATTAACAAAATAACTAATTTCACCTTCTTTAGTCATCTTGGCTCTTTTTCTAGCCAATGAAAAGAAGATACTCCCTGAGAATCACTAGTCCTACCTGCCTTAGCTATTAGTTTAGGAAGGTGAATCATTCTCTGGAGATGTGTGTCTACTGATTGCAGAGAAAATCCAAACTACTGACTTGGACTTGGCAGCAAACCTTTAGAGAATGAGAATTAAACAAAAGTAACCTAAGGAGAGGGGCTCCTGGAACCTAACCCAAGCCAGCTAAGTAACTGCACAGTGAGACCCCCACTCTGTCCCTTTCCCATTTCTCTAAACCACTGACTACAGTTTTTCCTTTCACAAACGCAGTGTGACTTACAAGATGCTCCTTCCTGCTGCTGAAAAGGTACTTCATGGCAGTTTGGAACTGCTGCTGATCAAGCTGTTGAAATTCAGCCAGTAGTTGCCTAGGCTGGTATAAAAGGTTCTTCAGGTAATTTTGTATGGACATCTGAAGTATAGAAAAATATGCATAACACACATAAAACTTGTACTATTGTACTGGGGCATCTTTTACTCCCTGAAAATTTGTGCTCAAGGAGAAATAAGTGCTTAGTTCCTGTATTGTCTGTGTTGTCAATGACCAGAATAACTATTCTCCACACAAACTGTAAACAAAAATAATATAAATGCATTCTGAAAGACAGTAATCTTTAAATCCTTTTCTTGGCTTCAGGAGCAAATCCTCTCTAGGGAGTCATTTAACAAAGATGCCTCAGTTTCTCCCTCCATAAAAGAAGAGTAATAAAGCCTTTCTGCCTCACACAGCAGAGCTGTGAAAATTAAACATTTAAAGAGCTCAAAAAAAACCCCCAAATCAGGTACCATGTGCATATTATTATTACTTTAAAAAAGGAAGGAAATGTGCAATTAGATGGGAGGAAAAGTCTGTACCAGGTTGTAAGTCAAAAATACTCTCTCTCATATCAAACTGCACTTACCACCCAAAACCTTGTGCCTGTTTTGAAGAATCTAAGGGGAATGATAATATTGGAACAGAAAGCACTGCAAGGCTCATTAGCAGCAGACTGGAGTAAAATCCCTTCTAATTCCTGACAAAATTATTTCAGAATTGGTTTGGGATTTGTGTTGCAATTGTTCTTTGTTGCCTTTGCTTAACTTGCATTGCCATCAACCAATATCAACAGGGCTCCACACCTGCTTACAGCCTTAAACTGTTACCAAACCTGATCAAGGGATAGTGGTTAGTCTCAGGTAGGTTTGGGTGAGCTGTGACAGTGAAACAGAGCTCAGGACAAGGTTCAGCACTTGTGGAGCTACATGGCCACGAACAACTGGGACTGGCTAAGGCTCAGAGATGCACAGTTGACACTTTCCTTTTCCAGAGTGTGTGTGTGTGTGTGTGTGTGTGTGTAGGGAGTGGCTCAGGTTTTGATTAGCAGCTGCACTTAAACCAGTTCATAACCAATCACAATGAGCAGGGATGAAGAACAATGACTCTCTCCTATATCACTGCCACATTGATAATGTACAAAAACAGTGTTCAGAGGAGCTGTGAGAGGTGGAGGCATTTTGTAGGATGCTCTGGAGCCTCCCATTCCACGAGAAGCAATGTCAACTACAGCCACAGTCAAATTCTGGGAGAAACCTGTCATTTTCTGGAGAAACAGCATGTGTGTACACTCAATTAATGAACAATCACTGAGGAAAAGCAAAAAGATCACTATTATTATTTTTGGCTTGTATACTCCTGCAATCTTAGGGGGGAAAAGAAGCAAAAACCCTATTCCTATTTCCTATTTAGCTGCTACACCATGGATGTGTTAGTTGCCAGAATTCTCTAGTTTTGGCTACAGAGATAGGCTATTTTCTAATTCCTTTTTCAATAGAAATGTTCATGCATTTTAAATGTCACAAACCTGTAAGCTGCTAAGAGTAAACATAACTTCCTGGGCATGAAAATATGCCATGACTTTTGTAAGCATATCTGCTGTCCAGACATTAGAACTGCAACAGAAAACAGGACCAACAATGCCAGTAAAATAATAGAACATGTAAAATACAGATTACAAGAGGGGAAAAAAAAAAGACAAAGAAAACCAAACAGTGCTATAAACACCATAATGACATGAACAAAATGAATTATCAACACTTTTAAAAACTGTAGCAAGTATTTATTCTCAGCCTCATTCTATCAACCTTTTTTTTCCCCTTTTTTTCTGGTGTAAACCAGCTTTTCCCTTGTTAAGAGGAACTGCTCCCAGGAGACCTACATCAAAGTAATCATATGTGCCAATTTCATTCTATCCATAATGCTCTAGTTTCTGTGGAAATGAAACAGATCATATCTGAAGTGCAAGATAATACCGAAAAATCAAAATGGTGAGAGTAATACATTACCTTTGAAAATTAAGTATATCAAGGAGGGCTGCACATGAAAAATGGAACATAAAAAGTTATGGTGAGATACTGAGTTTTAACTCATTTTAGAAGCATAAGTGGGAATAACTTTGCACATTACCATTCAGATATTTCCCAGTTATTACTTCCTCCTAAGGAAAAAAAAATGTAATAAATTATTATTTTTAGATTACAGTATAAAATGTTAGTAAAGAGAACAAATAAAAATACTAACCACAGCTTTGAGCAATAATGGAGGCAAATCTGTAAAAGATTATCCTGTTATTAAAAGTTTATTTCATGTTTTCTCATTCAATTGTGTTACACAAAAATACATGTATCGTGTGCAGTGATTGAAATTATATATACATATATAATTTATTTGCCAGCATTTAATGCACTTGCAATTCAATTTATTTACAGAAAAGCAGTGACAATAAAAGGCTAGTAAATAATAATCAGTCTTGGTTAAATTCTTTGCTGGCATAGCTCCATGAAGTCAAGAGAGCAGAGAATATGGTCCTAGTTACTGCATCTATTTCACTACACACAATTTTTCCATCCACACAACATATATCCCTCACACAGGAGCTGTGGTCTTACCTTCAGAGTTCTGACTGTGTGTCACCTCAGCATGACCCACTGATATCAACAGCAAACATACCTTCAGAAGTCTGGACATTTCTTCTAGTGTTTATTAAAATCAGAAGATATTTGGATTGAAAAGGAAAACAAAAAGAACAGAATCAAAAGGCAATATTCACCCAAAGCTATAAATCAGAGACAGCCCACGCTGTGGAGTACAGATAGAGATCAGAACGATCCAAAAGTGTTTGCTCTTGAGTTTTTAATTTAGATCTTCTTCCAGGATAGAGATGTATTTTATGCGAACACAAGTCCACCAAGTGTGTATGTGCTGTCAGATTTATTTCCCTTTTAGCAAGTGGCTCCTTTCACTTTCTTCCTAGTAGCACTGTTTATTTAAGCCACACTCCACCTAAATATGACTTCAATGCAGGTTTGTTAAAGCAAGCAATCAAATCCTTTGAATCTCTGGTAGAACAGAAGAGAAATAGAGGGGGTGAAAAGGAAATAATAAAGCAGCTCCAAACTAACCCTTTTTCCTAGCTTGCTAAGCTCCCTGCATGGTCACTGCAGACTAGGTCTGGGACCCTCTGTTTGCTGATTTTTAACTCACAGGGTGGCAGGTCTGGCTTTCCCTGGCCCCACGGCAGTGCAGGGTGCTCCAGGCAGGGAGGGTGAAGGTGACCTTCCCTGCTGCTGTCACTGCAAAAAGGGGAAAATGTCCTTATGCCCATCTGAAGCAAAGTGACACATTTGGGAAATGGAGTTCCAGACCGTGTCACTTCGTTTAGATGGATCAAATCTGTAGTCTTTGTACTCATGAGAACTGTACCATCAATGTTCCACTATCACCTGGGACACAGTTGGTATGGAAATACGTGCTTTAGCAGCTCTTGCTGTCCCTGCTGCCCTGTGCTGTGCGGCATAAAGATCACAGAAAGATAAATTATCTGGAAGAGCAGTAATGGGACACATGGAGTTTTCACCAGGTGTCAGTGATTCTCATCAGGAAAGACTGACAGGCTCACAGCTCTCCTATACTAGATAAATTTGTTGCTTTCAGTCTAGCTCCTGAAGGACAAGGCTACACATTGCAGTAATGCAATGGGATGGAAAGGAAGCAGAGACTGAGCTCACTCAGGAGTTTCTGCAGCCACATCCCCTCTGCATCCCTGAGGACCATGAGCTGCTTTAATGCACACTGCACCAAGGTACTGCAGAGTGGACTCTGCCTCTGCACCCTCAGCCTGGTGCTCTGCTCAGCCCTGAGAGTCACTGCCCCACGGGGAAAGCAAGTAATGGATCTGAGCTATTAGGTGATGCTCTACAGATTGCAGCTTCTTACACTGGGGTTAGTCCCTGATGGTAACAAATCACACAGAGGGCCCCATTGGCCAACTTGGCTCTGCCCCTGAGACAACTGTTAGGTTTTCTCTCCCTTTTCTTCATTTCAAGGGTTTATCTGCAACATATTTAGTTTCTACATTTCTTTTTGTTGCTGAATCTGGATCCATTCTCTTTTTTTTCCCCCCCCCAAATTCTCTGCCATGTCTTGAGTTACAGACCTGAACATCTGATAAACACAAATACCTTTCTTGGATTGTTTAATCTCATGTATCAACAAGGTACTCTTCCATGAAAACATCTTTCAACAGCCTCCAGCAATACTTCAGTCTACAGCAAATACTTAACTTCAGCCTTGTAACAGGAGTGACTCAAAGTGACAATGATGATAAATTTAGACATTAGAGTTTAAGGAGCTATCGCCTCTGTCCTGTTCTTACACACACTGAAACCCTTTTCAGCTATTCTTTTGGGAGCACCATGGTACATGTTTCTCATTCAGATGTATCCGGTTTACTAGACAATGAACTTACTTGTTTGTTTCTGCCTTTGCCCTATTAATTTTGCAGTAGGGTTTGATTACTCCACATAGTTTAAATCATGCTTCCAGTGTTAGTCCTGATTTGTTTATTCCAATTTATTCCCTTTGATCAGAGAGGGTATTTTAATTAAAGCATGTTAACTTAATATAGGAGATTAAATGCTAAGGAAAGTGCTTTTTCATCCTGACTAATTCAGGCAGACAATCAGCAGTGCAGAAATAGTTTGCTGTGAAATAGCCCAGCTTGGTAAGACAATCTGTGGCATGAAATAGTCCCTTTTGTCAGTTCAGCTAGTCTGTTTGAAGTTCACTGCAGCTTTCAGACAATCCCAAATCACACGGTGAGGATCTCTTGCAGATCCCATCCAGCATCTCCCAGAGATCGTTCCTTGCCTATGCCGTGATCAGATCTCTCACATGTCACTCTTGCAGGACTCTCCAGTTCTGAGGAGCTCCCGGATTTCCTTCTCCTCTTGCTCCCTAAACAGCCACTCTTCCTTGTAAAGAAATCCTAGACCCTTTATCACTCATTCCAGTGTAGTCACTGCCTTATCTGAAGCTTGATAACCAGAAAGCTAACCTCATAATCACAAGAATTTCTGATAAGCCCTTGCAGTGCCAGTGCCCACCCTGCCCCTGCACCCAGGTGCTCACACCCCTGGGAAAAAGCAGTTAGGGGACTGGCAAGGGGGCCAGGCTGGAAAGGGGGAGAAGGGAGAAGAAAGAGACTGTGGTTTCTCGGGGAGAACCAGGACCCCACAGCACTTTACCTGCCTCTGCTGTGTCCTCCTCGTTCCCCGCAGTGCTGTGAGCTGGGCGGCTCCAGCCAGGGACCCTGAGCAGGGACAGGGGCAGGGACAGGGCCAGCGCCGCCTTGCAGCACACCTGCAGCCAGAGGGGAGGGGAAACCTCCTCTGCTGGGGGCCTGGAGGCCAGGGGACTCCCACAGGAGGCAGAGGAGGATGCTTCCCTTCCTGGGGTGGAAGAGCTCAGGGCCAGGTGGTGCTGCCCAGCGCCCTGCTCCCTCCATCTGCCCCTCCAGCACAGAGAGGTGGCCCTGGGTACCTCAGAGTAGGATGTGAACTGACTGTGCCTGGGATCACACAACAAAAAGGGGCTGTTTTGTGAGGTGGTGTTCCAACTTCACCTTGGAAGTTTCCAGCTAAATCATGCCCTTGCACGGTGTCTTTATCCTGAGATGCAACACATCCAGTGCCACCTGACAGAACAGACAGTTTAGTTACTCTCCAGGGTAAATCACTACACATCAGTGAGATGACTGAAGTGCAACTTGCACACAGTCACCCACAGCAGGACAGGGAGAGCAGAGGGATGAGGCAGGTTCCCCAATCCCATGAGTAATGAATTTGGACATTGGAATTGCAACACTTGTCCCCTTAGATGACATCTTAAAGTATTATGGGCAATTAAATGAACTACTGCACTCAAGAGTTTGTTTGCATGGGCTGTGAACAGCAATTAACTGCACACACAGGCTAATTCAAGGCCTGGAAGGAGAAAGATGTCCCTTCCCTGACATAATGAGCCGTGATGTTCTCTGTCCCTTGTGAGGAACTCTGGCTTTAGAGCATGAGTGTAGCTACAATCCCTCAGGGCTACTCTGGACGTTGAACAGGATTAAGCAGGTTTTCAACTCTGCTGAGTTTCAGCTTACTCTACAGGAAGCTTTTCCCCACTATTGCTTATGTTCTAGTAAGTGTTTCAATTCCTCATATTGTGTAAGAACACTTATCTAAATAGAGTGAACAAAGTAGAAAATCGTAAGAATGAAAACCCCCTATTATTTACATTGCACCTTCTTCCCAAAACTTCTCAAAGCTATCACAAGTCCTAAGTGACAGGATTAAAAGATGAGACATGAAACACACTCTCTTGTGTGATTTTTAACCTGTGGGATTAAAACACTTAAGAAGTGTTTGAAGAAGTTTGTCGTAATCCCTATTTGCCACTTTAAGCTAAAATCATTACACATTAAAAAACATTTTCCCACCCACTACTAGGTGAGTACAAATGAAGGTAACAGATGAAAACCAAAGAGTTTTCAAAGCATGCATAGCTCATTCTCCCAACAGACAAATCTGATTGTACTACGAGCCAAAATCCAACAGCACATCCTGAAAGGAGAATAATATTGAGTCTGAATTACTGCTGAAAAACCCCAACAGTCAAACCCCTCGCTCCATACTACATTACTATTCCACAAAGATGACTGAGAATAAAAGGCTAAGGAATTGGCAAAAGAAATGACTAACCTTCAGGCAGAGTGAGTCCAAGGTAAACCTAAAATGACATGTTAAGCATCCTCCCTGGCATATGATCACCACCAACAAAAAAACACAACACACAACTTTTAGACTTCAAAAGCAAGGCAGATCAGTCCTTTACTTACCAGATTGTTAAAAAAAATTTTTTAAATAAAAATCGAGGTTTCTCTGCTCTCTCACACTTACAGCCCAAGCAACACAAGACACTTGCCAGCTCCGTACTACTTATGATGCTGCTTGTTGTTTTAAAGGAAGGTTATATCCCGACTGCCAGAAATTATCCACTTTAAACAGCTTTTAAAGCAAGACATGTTAAAATAAATAGCAGTTACTGAGTACTCCCAAAGAAAAGAAAATGTCTCAAGCCAGCAAAACCCTCAGAATCAAGTCCCTATAGCTCCTCAGACCCTCAGAGGCAGTTTGACTCTCCAAGAAACTGCCCACGAGTCTTTTAAGCTGAAAACATTTGGGAACAAGTTGCTTAGAGTTTGTTATTAAATCTATCAGTTTAAAGTGCAGTTTTGGCAAGTTCTACCATAACCCTTTTAGCTGGAAAATGGCACGTGCAAAAGCAATGAGGAATTATGAAGCTTTGAGAGGAACATGAAGGAAACCCAACCAAAAGTGATACATTTGTTTTGTGGATTGTTATTCCTTTAAACAGTACTTAAATGCTGTTTAAATAAATGCAAGGCTGTGCTGCTGCTCACAGCTTGATTCTCAACAGAAAGAGCAGTTGCTGCAGACAAGCATGGCTATGGTTACAAAAATGAACACAAAAGTTAATGCAAAAGTCATCTCAAAAAAGTTTATTAGCATGATTAAAAACGTGAAGAATGACAGTAAGAGAGAAAGTAACTTAGCATGGAAGAATATCCATTTCAACAGTTTTTATTCAACAAAGCTTGAAGTGAATGGATAACTTTATTGCCAGATTTTGCTTGATTTCTTTAACAACAGTTCACATTGTATCAGTTTCACCATTATTAGGACTATTGCTTTTGTTTGGATCTGATCCCTGTTGCAGGTAAGTATAAAAAAATATCCCCCATTGCTTCTGGATTGGAGAATGTGTTGTTGGTTTAAGAGCTGGTAAAAAAAGAAAGTCTCAACTGAAGAGTCTGTTTTAAAAAACAACCTTTTTTTTCCCCCCTAATAATCACACTACAAAGAAATACATTAGTAATTTGGCCTTTAAATTTCTTACATGGTATTTATTTAGCATGGCAATCCCAAAATTCCCTCCCTTTAAGTAACCATACACCAAAACCCTCTTTCAGAGGCTGCTTCTTGGGTTAGATTCTGGAGATTTACTTCATACACGCTTACACTGGCTTGAGGACGAAGACAGCATCATCTAGCACATAGTAGTCATTGTACATATCACCTTCACAGAGGTATGGCAGTCTGGTGAAAGCCTCTATGGCAAAGCCAGCTTTACTGAAAACCTCTGGCAGGCTATTCACCTGTTCTTCCCAAGTGTGCCCTTTGATTTCCAAAACTTCTGAGGGCTTTTCCCACTTGCCACCTACTGAGAAAACAAAACAGTTTTGTTTCAATTACAAAGAAAACTTTGTGTTGCATTTTCTTACTGAAAGTAAAATCATACCGATTATGTTCCGTACCGCTCCACACCGGAGGTGGACAAACCACTTGTAGACCTGTTGCAAGATCAGTTCAAGGTTTTGCCTACTGTTCAAAAGCAGCTCCTTCTTCAGGTTATCTTTGATTACATTTTTAACTAGCAGTTTCAAGAGTGGCTAAGAGGTAACTCCCTCTAGTGAGGCTGGTGTCAGCCAACATGGACAGACAATGTAATGTCTTTCCAGCTTCCTAACATTCTCACGGCCGCTGTCTGGCCAGAGGTGGCTGCAGGTGACTACAGCTAATGGAATCAGCAAGTTGCAAGTGGTGATTTGCTGTGAAGTTTCCACCAGCAGGTCACCACATTACAATGGATGGTTAGAGTCTTTGTGCCTCCAGGGCCACCTACCAGCTGCTAAGGTAGAGGCTGCTTATGGTCACATAAAATTAAAAAGCCAAGCACTTGTAGCATGCTGGAAAACATGTTATTATATCCAATGAAATCATCTGAAGGATTATAGGTACAACTCTTAGAAGTTCAAAATTTAAAAATCTTCACCCTTTTTCCAAGTACTGTCATCCATAAACCCCAAAAGCTTTCTGCTTTTGTCTGTACCTTTAACCAGTTTGCTGAAGACAGCAGTAAACACCCCTCTAAACAGGAAGTTCTAAACCTTGTGATACAGACAGTTCTGCAACTCCAAGTATTTCCTAAGTTCCTCTTCCTTCAAGCAGAATCATTTCCAGAGAGACACAAGAAATGGCATTTTTCAGCGGATTAAAAAAGGTGCTAATGCTGGCGTTTGACTGGATTCTGTATGGAACCGGTAAGACCTTTTTTCAGCTTCTTACATTTTCTCATGTAAGAGCAGCTAAACAAGATTGAGAATTTTGTGGTTATGATTTGCCACATAGCTACAAAATCTGAGCAGTGAAAAGTTTTGCTGAGAATCAAGTTAATTTTTGCTATCTTCATACAACTTCCAAACGAAACAACTCCTAGCAAACTCTTTTTTCTTCCAAAAGTCTGAAATGCTCCTGTAACCTATGATTTCTGGGTCAAATCCTACTGCACTTTCCAGCTGCAGCAGAGTGGTTTCAGGGCAGCTGTGCTTGTCTGGGAGGAGGGTTTGGGAAGTTCAG